GGAGGGGAGGGGAGGGGAGGGAGGGAGGGAGGTAGGTAGATTGGTCCGTACTGTAGGTGGGAAGATGGGTAGGTTAGTAGGTCTGTGGGTAGCTACTTGTTCGACAGGCAAGCAGGTAAGCATAAATGTATGTACATATGTACGTATATATGTATGTATGTGCACAGACACACAACACACACACACACATGTATGCACCTAAGTCCATAATCTGTCAAATATCCATGAAAAAAGTGTGCGTACTTATACTGATATGTATACATACATATATATATATACATACACATACAAACACACATGTGTGTATATACGAATATATATATATATATACATATACATATACATATACATACACATACACATGCTGTATGTTTCTGTGTGTATGTGTAAGTGTATACCGCACATACATATACTGATGCATAGGTGTACCTGCAGGGGAACGACCAGCTGCCTTCCGCAAGACTGCACGCTTCCAAGCTCCTTTCCATCTGCCCAGATTTCACGATCTCGCACAAGTCACCGTTTTGCATCATCTGGGACATTTGGACATCGATTGCCATTGGCTACGACATGGCATCTCGTCCGCAGCTTGCGAGTATGTCGGCACGGCATTTGCTAAACTGTTTGAGTTGCGAGCTTTTCTGAGTCCTGGTTTAACTGCATTTTCGAGCGGATGCGAGCTTCAAAGCTTGTGAGAGCAGCAGGTGTTGTTTCGGGTGTTGTCGGGCTTTCATAATCCGAAAAGTGCGCTTTTGACTGACTGATTGTGCACGTTTCCGGCATCGAGATCTTCGCAGCCTCCGACTGTCAACATTTGGTTTGCTGTGAAAGTCCCCTGCGCAAGGTCATGACCCCCATGGATGCTTTCGACATCAATGTCAGCGAGAATCAGGCCTACGATCAGGGCCATTAAGGGAGTGACAAAATACGAAGCCCAAATACAGACCCTCAGTAGCAGGATCTTTCTGCCACGCTGCAATCTACGAGAAGCATTTCAAGGTTCTTTGCCGACAATGAACTCCATAGACATAGACCGCAGATAACTAGTAAGCTTCCTGGTCATAAAGACACAATTGGAAGGGTGCACCTCGACTCGTTTCGAGGTTGGGACCCAAATCCCAATAGTTAGGTTTTACCCCCTAAGCCCCTAAACCTAAAACGCCCTGAGCCCGGCTATTTCATGTTATCCTAAACCCTGCAACCCTAAACCTCTAAAAGTCCTTTAAAAACCCTAAAACCTTTTCTGTCCAGTCCAGTTTTCCCAGGTCCTGCGCATCCTGGAAAGAACCTCCTCGATCACGTGGCTCATGGATATGATCCTGTCCGGCCCCAAAAAAGTGGTTTTCAGGGTTTCGGGAGTAGGGACTGGCCCCAAAAGAGATTACGGTGCTTCTGAAGGTTTACGTGGGGTTAGGTTGGAGATGATTTTAGCTCCAGGAATAAGTCTATGGGTGTATCGGTTAGGTGCTTAGTGGGAGGGGCTGGTCAGTGGCTTGTGTTGTGATCGTAGGGGTGGAAGCGCTCGGCTAGTCTGTTGCTCACTTGCCGACAATGTCTCAATTAATCGTGGGTAAGTCCATGTGCCGTCGTCTGTAAATGATGGGCATATCATTCCGTTTTCTTTCTCATTATTTGCAACTTGTGCGTTTGCCATTCACTGTTGTGGGTTGTTTTTCACTTGCTTGCGAGCTTGTTTCGTGTCTTCCAAGACATTGCGTCTTGTTGGCTCTTCACTGGCAGTCACACTCGCTCTTCGGGGATTGTTTACCACTGTTGCAGGTCATGCCTCGTGTTGCTTCTTCGTGTAAATACCGTTCATGTTTGCCCCTTGTCAATGTTATTGTTCTCATGATCATGTTGTGTGTGGATCTACTACTATTTTCTCCCCTTTCCAATACCATAACTGCCTCTCGATGGATTGCCGCTTGCGAGTCGGAGGTCCTTTGCGAGGACGTACGGAAAGCTGAACGGAACCGAGGACGGGAGTAGGCTGTGATGCAGTTCTGGCGCAGGGCTTCGTGGAGGGTCGGGGTTCTTGGGCTGAGGACTTGGTGTTTCATTCCTGATTTAATATAGGAGCCTCAATAATCACCTATACTGTTTTGGGGTTCCTTTTTGCAATTATAATCTAGTATACCCCAAAAACCCAATTCGAATTGTTATGGCCCCTACGTTCGGGTTTAGGGTCTTGATTGGAAGGGCACTGCACAACAGGAAAACTGAAGCGTCACTGGTCGGGACTGAAGGACCCTGAACGACAGCAGCCACAACACCACAAGCAACGACTGTGCGAATGATGGAGGCCCTTAAACCCAAGAACCCCTAAACCCTAGACCACATCAAGTTGCACCTTGCTGAACATAAGAAGCCTGAAACCGGAGATGATGGTGACGACATGCATAGCTCAGCTCGAGATAAAGCCCGGCCCAGTTAAATCCAGACTCTGGGGGGTGAGACCGCTTAGAGTGTAAGTTCAAAGGCCATATCAAAAGGAGTAGGCCTTTATATGTTTATCTGGTGCAATACACATTTCATAAGCTTTCTGGGATTCTGTACATGCGGGGTTAAGGTTGTAAAGGGTTTAAATGGGAATGTCATTCTTGCTGTTAGGACGCAGCAGTTCTGCCCAGGAGAGACATCTTGCTGCCACCTCGCGCAACTACTTGCGGACTTGGCTCGTCTTCGATTTCACACTAGTCTGCTTGGCCACGGCCTTAGAGTAGGTCGTTTAAAGTCTTTTCATATCAGGAATCTGCACATCTGCCGCCTTCCACTCAGCCAACTTCAGTACTTTACGATGAGCTATTTGTTGTACAGACCCTGGGTTGCGGTGAGCCTGTTGAAACCCTGTAACTGTAAGCCCTGCCAGGGCACGGGATTTAGGCTCTGTCGCCACTGACAAGTGAGAAGCGATGCCAAGGACATGTTTATCTTCGTCATCGAAGATACGACTTGGGTGCGGCATCTAGGCTGCAACAGCAAGCAGGATATTGGGTCTCCTGTATTTGGGTTCAGCCGCGCGCACCGGATTTGTGTGAGACCTCCAGTTCTTCGCTCCAGAATGTTTTTGATCCGCTCTGGCTGCCGTAATGCTACTAGAGCCACAGTGGTTTGTGCGACGGCGGCGATGGTGATGCTGCTGATGATAAGGCTGATGACTGATGACTGCGCGTATGCCCGTGATTCTGTGTTTATGGTTATATGGTCATGACTCCGATTATGATTATTGTTAGTATATAGTTAGAAACATACCCTCAAGAACTACCAGCACGAGGGCCACGCTACCATCGCCCGGGCTCCGGCATGAGCCCAGGTACATGAGCTTCTTCCGAAAAACCCTAAAGCCCTAAACCCCCAAAAAACCGCAGGTACATGAGCTTCTTCCGGATTATCCGGCTCTTCCGGCTCTTGCGCGTCTTGAGACTGGCGAAGGTGAAGGCAGCTTCGACTGCGTAAGATGGGAGGTTTGAAGAGTTACCGATACGATTCTCTAGGGTTCCTTATTATACAGGTTCCATAGTGTGCACAAACTGCAACTGTGTGGTTTGTGCGCTTTCGGTTTTTGTCTGAACCATGTTTTCTTGAACGGAGCCTTTTGGAATAAGTGCCCTCCATTGGGGGGACCTGACTGTTGAACAACCCCGTTCGGTGCTGGCTGTTCTGCAAAGTCCACATGGTTGATGTGGTTTTGGAGGGTCGTCCCAACCGAAGGGAGCTCCTTAGTGTACTTATAGTATATTCTACTGATTATAAGCCCCAAAATTCGTCCTCTGAGGCCTCGTAGATGCTTGTCAGTCAGCTCGGTTGATATACGTTGTATCGGGCGTACTGCTGATGCAAGCCATGTAGCCTAAATTGTCCAGCAGATAAGCTGAACTGCGTAAGCCTTATTATCGCACCCCAATCCCTAAAACCCAATCCCTAAACCCGCAACCTGAAAACCCAAGATGCAGATGGCAGCATCAGCCCAGGCCGGTTTGATAAGTGGTGCCATTAACTCAAGACTTTTCTGGCACGCAGCCCCAGAACATGTGGACCATGGATGTTTGACCTGGCATTCCACAGTTTTTTTTGTAGTTCTCATCTTCCAGAGCGAAATTAACCAGCCGCGCTGACGTGGAAGCTGTCCTTTCGGAATACAGCCGGAGATGCTGCGATCTGCGTGCTGGATGAACTGTTCTGAATGTGGCTTGTGCTTTATGTGGCGAGGCACGCATCGCTGTTCTGGCGCAGCTGCTCCACATCATGCAGACTCAGCCACGGCGGCTGCAGCTCAAGGTCAACACCAAAGGTCTTCATGAGACAGTCTGCAGGTGTCTAGGAGTGTAGCGTGGTTCCGGGATTGGGGTTTCAAGAGGGACACCAGCGCCCGATGTTTCTTTGGGCGATCATGAACATGCTGGCTGTGACCCCGGCAGTCAATTACAGCGATGCTGTTCCCGTGGCTTCCCCTTGCCCTGCAAACCTGCCCGTGAGAAGCAGTGTACTTCCTTCGACCTCACCTGACCTGCGGCGATGCCGTTCGATCATAGAGAAAACGTTTCAATAGGCAGGTCAGACCCCTACACCGTTCATCTACTGCCCGACTTCGTTCCTGAGCACGAGTCCTCCCTGTCCTGCGCAGCTGAGGCATATAACGGATCGGGGACTTCTGATGTTGAACATTGTCAAGAGCCTTCTGGCTGTCACAGTTATCAACCACTTCACAGCAGCCTGGCTTCCAGTTAATATCCAAGCAGGCTTTGATAATTAGATTAGGGTTTTGGGGTATATTATGTGAATAATCTAGAGCCGAGGGGCTATAAGAGGATACTGTTGTATTCAGACTTCTACAGTAGCTTGGCTGAGCTCCATTGCAGTTGGACACCTCATAAACCGGGCCAAGGGTTCTGTAGCACCAGGAATCGCCGATAAGGACCCTCCAAGGCGCATACCCGAACCATTCTTCCAGACCCTATCCGCAAACCCTAAACCCAAAACCTTAAACCCAAAGCCCCAAACCCCAAAGCAAACTCTACTCAGGCATGTACTTGGTACGCGGTGGGCACAATCTTGAATGATGAGAACAACTGGGTCACGGCTCATTTCCGGGAGCCCGGAGCAGTCCCCAAACCTGACTCGCTGCTGTACCTCTACACCACTGCAACTCGATTTCTTTTGCTTCCGAGACTTGGGGGGGCTGTTCTTCGGGGTTTTTGTTTCTGGGAGTTTCGGGCAATAAAACCATCAAGATGGAGAGGGTGGTCCTTCGACGTTGTTCCATGTGGGCTAACACGGAGGTTCAAAGCAAGCTGCCAGTTGTCCCGAGTCATGCGCGACATAAAAGTGCGGCGTCTTGTTCCTCGCAGTCAAGAGTTCGGACTCTCCATCATGACATTGCCCAGATTTCGTAAGTCGTAAGTGCCCTGCAAAGCTCGTTACAACTTGACATTAACTATTGCAGTTGATCCGCCACTGCGTCTGCGCTTCAGTGTTCCAGTCGGGCACCTCCTCAGAGCTTCGAGTGCAGGCGCAGCCCCAGAGACGAGGGTCTTTGGCTCCTAAGCGTGCTCGAAGAAACACTGATAGAATTGATCCAAGCAGAGGAGGTTCTTTTCAAACCTGACACAGCCGCCGGCTGACACAAGACCAGTTCTTTTTCCACGGAGTTTCCCTGACCGGCTCCACCAGAAAGAGCTTGTCAGGTTTGTCAGGTTCGTCGCCGGCACCCCGCGAGGGCAGGGAAGGGCGCGTCAGGTTTGTCACGAACAGGAAACTGAGTCCTACCCAGAAACTGGGAGCCCAAGACCTGAAACCTGATTTTTTTTCGGAATCCGGGTCAGCTGAGGCGTACCACTGGTCGATCACGCAGCTTACGCCAGCATCGATGGCAGCTGAGATCAATCAAATTTCCAAATCATTCCGCATGTTTCATACCCGGGAGGTGTTGTCTCTTCATACTTACCCAGAATATACATACAAGTGGAGTCTGTCTGCGCGAGCCGCGCAAGGATACGAGATTGGAGGTTCCAGATTTGAGGCCGAAGGCCGAGGAGGTCTGCGAGAATGCGGTGCAATACAGAGAGGGTGGTACTCTAACAGGTCATGAGATAGAACAAGAACGCTGGCGCAACGAGTTGCAACACTAACAGTTACTGCTGTCAATAATTCTAAGCATATCCACCACTAGCATTACCACTAGCACTACTACTCCTCCTCCTGCTGCTGCTACTCCTCCTCCTCCTGCTGCTGTGCTGCTGCTGCTGCTGCTGCTGCTGCTGCTACTGCTACTGCTACTCTACTGCTACTACGACGACGACGACGACGACGAGTACTACCGGCACGTTTTCTTCTACTACGTCGCCCACTACTGCTTGTCGTTTCTTTGAATGTGAAGAGACACGGCACGAATTGAAAGAATGATCTCAGCCGAGGAAATCTATCCTCAGTCAGCGCGTGAGCGAATCTTCAATATTGCAGTGATTCTCTTCGGGCGGCTTGGAACCCGTCAGGATCTGTCTCCGAAGCCTGTAGCCTCCTGAAATCTGCCGCCTCCCTGAAACCCACAAATTCAACATGCCCCTGTTGAACCCCACACCCCAAAACTCTACACCCAAAGCCCTAACCCCTAAACCCTCAGCCCTAACCCCTAAACCCTTGACCCCTCAATGCCCCAGACCCCTAAAGGCCGCTAAACCATTCGCTGCAAAGAAAGCCCTCAGAACGCCACCTTGCAGGCTCTGTGTCTTTGCTCGTCCGAGAGTTCGAACCCAAAAAGCCCCAAACACACTACAGAACCCCTCTCTGAGACTCTCTACCCCTAGTATAACATAAATATATGTATATATATATATGTATAGATATACCGGTATAATTAAGCCCTACAACCTCAATCCCAGAACTTCAACTCAACACCCTAAGCTCTTCAACCCATAAACCTAACCCCTTTCTAAGTTCCCCCGAAACTTTGGTTTAACGTTTAGGTTGTCCGAGGCTTTGTGTCTTTTCTTCCTTCATCAGCTCAATGGCACAACAGCTCTCGGCTTTGCAACAGCTCTCCAAGTCGGACCGCTCCTCGTCTCAGACTTAGTGGTATTCTACTGGAAAAGGTTTAAGGTTCAGGGTTATATGCAGAGTTTAGAGTGCAGGGTTATATTTAGGGTTTAGGGTTATCTAGTACTGATTACAAGAATAGCTTCAGGTTTCGCTTTAACGACAAGAGCCGCACGGAGCAGCGAGAACAACAATTGCAAGCATACTGACACAAAAGATAGCAGTAGCAGTAGCTAGTAGCAACAATAGAAAGAGGAACAAATACTATCACTGGACAACAGCTCGCCTCTCCCATACACTGCTGGCACATGCTTCTGGAACTACATTAGTGTAAATTCATGCCGCTTCTCTGCAGCAAAGGCGCATGCTATCAGAAGATCCTCCGTATGTCGCACTTGCTGTGTGGTCATCTACGAAGAAGAACAGAAAACCAATACTTACTGTACTGCCCACGACAAGTAGTAACAATTATAATAGACTGAGAGGAAGGTGGGTCGGGGAAATCCTGGGTAAGAGTCAGCATCCTCAATCTCAGCTACCTTCGTCCCACCGTTTTAGGTCTTCGCAGGATTTAGGACGTAGGGCTTCGGGGCCTGGTGTGTAAATCTATTTCAGGATTTAGAGCGTAACGTTTTGCTCGCCAAGTAGTCTGCTGAACTCAGAGAAGATTCAAGCTCGAAGAGCTACCGAGGCCACAAGATGCAAGTACTGCGACGGTTCATCTCTGCCCCTTGGAATTCCTTCTGTCGCCAGGGTCTTGAAGTCTTAATTGGGGCAGAGCTTAATCCCTAAACCTGCAGCTCTAAACTACTTGAAAGCCCCAGCAGCTGTGGACTTCAATTCGTGCTTGCTAAGCCGGCTGAGGTCGCGCCCACTCTTCAGAGAGACAGACAGAGAGATGGACAGATAGAGAGAGAGAGAGAGACTGTGCACTTCCCTCTAGCCCATAGCCCTGACGAAAAAAAAGAAGACAGACTGTGCGTGGTTGCTCTTTGCAAGTGGTGGAAGCTGCGGATCCAAGTTTGTCGCATCATCCTGCCAGTGAGGAGAACAAGATGAGCGTCGCCCTGGCAACTACCATCGTGGACTTCGTCCGGTACAGGGCTGAGCAGAAGCAGTGTTGAAGGTTTAGGTCATCACCCTAAGCCCTAAACCCCTAAACCGGGTCAGCAAAAGGAGCAAAAACCGAATAGCAGCATGGTTTGTTCGCCTAAGCCAACCACAGCCCTCGTGCTCGAGCTTCAAGGCTTCTCGTGGCTTTCCCATTCCCTCAAACCCTATAAGCCCTGACCCCGAGAGCTCCTAAGCCCTAAGCCCTAAACCCGAGAGCCCCTGAAGCAAAAGACCTCAACCTGACAAGCATCGACGTGAGGCAAAGGAAAAGTCCCCAGGCCCAGCGCCCGCTGAAGGCTTGGCATTGCTTGCTTGAATTCCGGTCTCGGCGAATTCAATGGGGGGGGGGGGGTCCCTCGGTGCCTTTGTTAATCTGAATGTATCCCTTATACCAACAAAGTGCCTAAGCTGCCCGAAAGAGGATGATAATGCAGAGCGGCAGAGCAGCTACAATTTCAGGGCTGGGTTCAAGACGTCGGGTAGGTGGCGTGAGTATCTGGACCTTGTTGCACAGGAACCTGCAGTTGCAGCGCAGTGAATGGGTTCAATTTCGGTCAGGTCAGCGACATCGAGATCTTCGCGACATTCCCATCTGTGCTCCAGCAAAGCTGCAGTGATTTTGGGTTCCTTATTTTGACTCACCCCAAAACCCTTTTCCAAAAATTAAGGCCCCTACATTACAGTGGCCAGTGGCTAGAGCGAACCAGGGGGGCCGTTGCGACCGGTTCACATGTTACTTCACCTGTTTGCACCGAGCGAAGCTCAGGTGCTGCTGCAGAAGATTCGAACTGAAGCCCATTACTTCGCGCCGTGGTGAGATTCGCTGCTAGAATAGAAGACGCTTCTGCAGAGTGTGTGCTGGTTCCACTCCAGAACAGACTACAAGTCTGGCACTTACGCTTCCGAGGTGCTGGGGAAGCACAGCCTGTTCCAGAGCGTCTACCACAACGACCGGGATACCTTCTCTCGTGTATGCAGCGACGTATGCATTTTGCACGTCAGGGTGGCAATATTCCTTCGGACCTTTACCCCTGAAACCTTCCCTTTCAAGAGTAGGTACTAGAAAGCCCCTCATGCAGGATGTGCCGGCTTCCTGCAACGCCGACGCGGTACCTAAGGTAGATTGTTCCGTATTGGTCCCCAAGTCACAATCATTGCCGTCGAGTCTCTTGAACTGACGGACCCTGCTGTAGCAGTGAAACCAAGCCCTAAGGCCCTTAACCCTAGCCAAGGCAACACATGCATAGTGGAGCAGTCGGTGGACAGGGGCCATGACGTGTTCAAGGTTGGCGACAGAGGCGGCGCGGGTTCTTGTCGGGGCTTGAAGCTGCAGTTGGGCTTGCAGATCATTTTTGTCATCTGCAATCATCTACTACGACATGCTGCCTGCGGCTGTGTATGCAAGTCGGGTGCTCGAGCCTGATAAGCCGTGTGGCAAGAGTCCAGCCTTTGAGCGCACCGAAGCTGATGGGCACAATGATATATCATATTATAGTCTCTTATAGCAAATTATGTTATATTACTATATAGTACAGTAGCTGCTCTCGTGTAGGAGCTGCCATGTACGTTGTCAACCATGGCAAGCTGGCATACGCACTCGGCATGGACGATTTGTTCGACCCGACAGACTCGCAGGAGTTGCTTTGAAAGGGTCTTCTCAGTGAGGTCTAATGTGAGGTCTAATGTGTGTTCAAAGCATTTGGGCATCGGCGCATGCCATTCTGCTGCAATCACTGCAGGCATTGGTACCATGAAAATAGCCATTTGCGGAACTTGAAACCTGCTCATCAAATGCTTGGAACAGGAGTGGCTGAACTTGAAAGAGAACAACTTGGCCAGCATCATCTCTAGTGGAACAGTGGTGTCCGAGGTGCTGCTTCGCCTGATTTTCCCAAATTTGAAGACACCCGGAACCCTAAACCCTAAACTCCACTAAACCAACAAACACTTGTATTCAGGGCTTCAGGTCATTCTGGCGAGCAGTTTGTTGCAGCTTGACACTGCAGGCCGCGGCTTGAGGTGTTTTCCTGGTTTCGCATGCTACCACAACTAGTACTGCTACCGCCAGTGCTGCTGCTACTGCAGCTGCGACTGCTACTGCTACTGCAGCGGCTGCGACTGCTACCACTACGATGACGACGACGAAGACGACGCGACTAGGACGACGACCACCACCATCTACGACAATGTACTAACCTATTACGTGCGACCACCTACTACTTGTACCTACTACGAGCTACCACTGACTACCTTGCACCTGGTGCTGCGACTCTTGCTATTGCTACTCCTGCTAGCACTGGAATCAACATGCAACTAGCTCTAAACCCTCAATGCCAAACCTCGAAAAAGGTGGCCGTCTGGCTGGATTGGGTTCACCGGGGGCGGCTCTACGGCGAAGCTGTGGCTTGGCGTTTGCAGTTTCCGACAGGCACACAGAAAGGCCCGGAACGGTGATCTAAGGCTTTGGAGCTGTAAGGTACACTATACTTCGCTCAGCACACTATACCTAGACTCTACTAAACTATACTACATTACGCTTTACCATCCTATACTAGAAGCATATGCCAAACTGTTAATACTACACTATACGAAATATACTGGGATTTTGTGGCGATCAGTTTTGTTCAATGTGTTTCATGCGTTTTTGATTGTTCAAACCTGCTTTGTTGAGCGACTAGGCTTCCTTGAATGTCTTTGTACGAATTCGTCGTAGGGATGAGCCTAGAACGGAAGACGGCATAGCCGTTTGGGACTGAGCAGGGCTAGATCCTCGTGTAGTACGGGGGTCGGAACACATCGTGGTAGCATCCTGGTGCAGTCTCTCCATAATGATACTGTGATGTATCACGAAGTTCAGCAAAACCCGAGTGCAAGATACATTGAACCTTGAATCGCCCTTTTTTGGGCCGGGAGATCTGGCTTAGAGTCTATTCAGAGCATTGCTTCTTCGTATCGCGCGAAAGCACGTGGTGCAATTGAATGCGACTCAGGTGCTGACAGATTTGCTGTGTGTGGACACAGATCTTTTCCAGGAGGTGGGCCATTCAAAGCCAGTGACATGAGGGCCGGTTTGTCTTACAGCTGGCTGTGTGTGTGTGTGTGTTCGAAAATCTTCTCGTTGCTAAGGCTTCAGAGATAGTAGAAGCCCTCATGCTGTGTTCTTTGCCGTTGTCGCTGGCGTTGAGATGTGTGTTGCTGTTGTTATTGTTGTTGTTGTTGTTGCGGTTCTTGTTATTGTTAGTATTGTCATTGCTGTTCTTCTTCTTCTTATTCGTTTTCTTCTTATTATTCTTCTTGTTGGCGTATTGGTGGTGGTGGCAGCGGCGGCAGTGGTTGTCTTTCCATTGCTGTTGGTGCCACACTTATTGTATTGTCTGTCGTGATTGCTGTTGCCGGTTGTCCTGCTGCTGCGATGGGCATAGCCCTTCTCATCACTGTTGCTGCTGCTTCTGGCATTCATTGATTTCTTGTGACTACTAGTCTTCACGAGAATGCAGTGTCCTAGCTTGTCATGTTTAGGTTGTATCGTTGTCGCACTTGTTCTAAATGTTGCTATGAGGAGTGATATGCTGTTGTGAAGCAGTAGTAGCCAGCTTCTGGTCGAGTAAAGCACGGGAGATTTCTGAATCACTCTTGGTCTGCTGCTTCGACCGTTCGATGCATCTAGCGAGCCATCGAAGGTTTGATTAGCGGAAGCCTCCAGAGCCCGACCGGACTAATGGGGCCTAAATACCCACGCGATTATTTTATTTTATTATTATTATTTTTTTTTTTTTTTTTTTTTGGGGGGGGGGGGGTCCTTGTTATAGTTACTGTATAACATACACCAAAACCCTATTCTAATTACTAAGGCCACTACATTACCTATCGCTCGCGAAGAAAGTTCCTGCGAAACCCTCAACTAAACACAAGCCCTAAGCCACATGCCAGCCATCAACCATTGGAGTGTAAAGCCTGCGTTTGCAGCTGGCAAGCGCGACGGTTGTTTACATGTCATGATCTTCGGGGGCAGACATCATGATTTCTATAAGTTTCGATGATGCGTTTTGGTTGAAGATGCAGGCAGCCAGTTTCGGGTTTAGTGTAGGGTTCCAAAAAAATCAAATTAATACCATTCTTGATGCTCCTTATTTTTTTGTAATAGTCGTATATAGTATAGTATACCCCCAGTAAGGCCTCTGTGTTTTGTTGGAATGTAGGAGCCTTAAGAGTTAGAACAGGGTTCCTTTTTGACGGGCTATTTTTCAAAGGGTTCTACAAACGGAGCCGGCTAGGCCTTTGATATTCTTGCGGAAACCCTAAACCCTAAACTCTAAACCCTAAACCCTAAAGGTTGTTCTAGGTAGATGGTATAGGAGTCCCTGAGCTGCTTCAATTGCAGGGTTCCCGGCAACTTCCACATCGGCACTCATGGTGCCTCCGTTCCATCGTGGCTCGGCTATCAGCTTTCGATTTCTAGGGCTTGCGTTCCTAGAGGGCCAAGTATCCAAACGGTACTTAGGGCGATAGGCTTCTCGCTCTCTCTCTCTATATATATATATACTATATATACATATATATGGCTTTTGAAGCCATTTGAGCAGACAAGGCCCAGTGTAGACCATCACCACATCACTTAGAGCAGGATGTCCAGTTAGTTAGGCTTTCAGTCCGCAAATCCATACCTACCCTAAACCTTACACCCGAACCCCTAAACCCCTAAACCCTAACCCACAAGCCTACAATCCCAAACCTCATCAAGCCTCTGCTGACGGTTGGCTGACCGCAGTCCTCCGATGACTGGACAAAGGGTCCTAGGTACTGTTACGGGGGATACTACTTTCCCAAATCATAAGAGTAATTCCGGTAACAGAAGCCGTACATTCTGTTGCATAGGTACTTAGGAGGACTTCTGTTCGTCAGAGTCTTCCAGTCGAAAACGGATCATTTCGAGTTGTGCTGCCCAGCCTATGTGGCACCTAAGCCCTAGTAAGAGGATCATGGGACTTAGTAAGTAAGGTTATAAGTACATTAATTGGAGCTATAATTAAATATAACTATAGTTACGTTATTTACAACCCTAATTACTAAGTCCAATGATCCTCTAAGTAACCTTCAACCCTGAATCCTCCACCGAGGCCCTAGGCCCCAAGCGCAGGATCTTCAAGCTATGATTCATCCCCATGCTTCCGGAAAGACTTACACACACTTCACGCTTGCGAGGGCCCTAAGTTGAGCCTGTGGTACATATTCGAATGTCCAATAGCCTCGGATAGTGTTGCCTCAGCATCTCGAGGCAACAGGTCAGGGCTTAAGGGTTTTAGGGCTTCAGGGGCTATGTTCTTGTGTTTCGTACTTGAGGTCAGCTCTATAAGCTTTCGGGATGGGTAGTTTTCAGCCAAGGTACTTGACATTCTACGACGAGCCATCCCCTCCACAGCAGAATATGCGGCGCTGCGGCTGCAAGCTATTTGCTGGCTCAGGGAGAGCCCCAAGAAAAGCAAACAGAAGCCATTCCAGTGTCTACTCGGCGTATCGCGACGTTATTCGGCCAGTAATTAATGACCGAGGTCCCGACACGATAGTCTAATATTACTATGGTTTCCTAAGTAGTTACTAACAGTATCCCCTTGTCGTTCTCAGATATAGCTGTAGTTTTATTGTACATTTTTATTAGACAAAACCATCTTCTAATTTCTGTATTCATTTGGGCCCCTACTATTCGTAAGCGGCAGGCTGTCCAGCTTCTTTTGGCTGGCAGTCTCATCGAAGACTGGCACTCTACACTCTAAGCTTTGGGAGCCCCAAGCTCTAGCCAACACTCTCTGGTTCTTAGTAGGGAATGGGGGAATGGCTTATTGGGACTACTATAGGGGACCTTAAGGGACTATCATAGGGATCCATTCCCCCATTCCCTACGAAGAACCACAAAAAGCACCCAGGCTTCTGGGGTTTAGGGTTTAGGGTTCTCTCAGGCACACCATCCACAAGTTGGCATTTGTGGACACAGTGGAAAACTTCTTCGTGGACCTGAAGCAGCCCATTGACAGCTCCTTTGGCCTAGAAAAGCTCGGAAATTGGTTGCAAGCAACCTGAAAAGATCTGCGAGAGATGGTAGCCGAAACCCTAGACCCTAAACCCTAAACCCTAAGCCCTATATAAACCCTAAACCCCAGGCCCTATATAAACCCTAAACCCCAGGCCCTAAATTTTAAACGCAAAACCTAGGCCCTAAAGAGGCCCTGAACCCCAAACCCTAACACTTTGGAAAACAGGCAACATACTTGCCGACTCAAGCCCTGTAGCCCTGTATGTTTGTATGTATGTATATCCGGACCCGTTGTCTTTTCTAATAGACTGTGGACCCACAAAAAGGCAAGCACAAACAAAACCAAACCCTAAACCCTAGGCCCTGAATCCCAAACCCTAAACCACCCTTGAAAAAGGCAACAACAAACGAGTGCCCACCAGCTATCCTGTTGACACACGAGACCCTAGACTATGCTGGTTTAGGGTTTAGGATTTGCGGTTTAGGGTTTAGGATTTGGGGTTTTGGGGTTTAGGATTTGGGATCTGGGGTTTAGGGTTTAGGGTTAGTCCTAAAACCCTAAACTCGGAGCTCCTAAACTCCAAGCCTCTCCTCACTTCGTGGCTTCTCCAAGGCTTCGAGAGCCCCAAGGCCTTCACCTTCCAGCCCTGGACTCAGCGGTTTAGGGTTTAGGGTTTGGGGTTTAGGGTTTGGGTTTAGGGTTTTAGGGTTTAGGGGATCGTGGGGTATGTTAAAGGAAACTACAAGTGGGGAGTTTCGGGCATATAGGGCTTCTATAAGGCTTCTATAAGGTTTCTAGACCTTCTATAAGGCTCCTAAATCCACGTGCCGGATATTTGGAGGATCATGGAGCTTAGTAAGTAAGGTTACAAGTACCTTAATTGGAGTTAGAATTACATACAACTGTA